GTGGACTCTGGGGTGGAGTGAGGGTAATATCCCTTATACTGATAAAAAGCAGACCAGTCAAACAGTTGTGAACATTTAAAAAAAAAACTCCAAAAAAAAAACAAACATGACGATAGCAATGGTGTGATGATTTATCAACATAACCAAAAACTTAATCGTCAAAGGCAAGCAAACAAGCATGTAATTAGGATGATGTATACACGATTTTAAACGTGATATCAATATATTTCTTCAGAATAATTCAGAATACCTTAGATTCTGAATGTTATTACCGAGTAGCAAATAAATATGATATTTGTAAGATTAATATGTGGCAAACCATTAAAGACACATATTCAGTTAGTGGTCGATCACCGGTATTAGCCAATTACAGCTTTTGATAAACCCTGTCAGGTGCAAATGCTTGAAAATCAAACACAAAAAAAGACATTGATTTTGCGATATATTGTATTTTAAGAATGTTGTGTAACAATGAAATACTCCCGCGAAAGTAAAATGACAGTAATAACAGTTTCCGTTAAAAATAATCTTCCACGTCTTGAAGAAGCCCAATCAAAAACAGATTTGAAGAGAGAGGATCGACTCTATTATTTATTATGTTTACATTTGACAACTAACCATAAAGAAATCATTCGGAAATCTATAAATAAATGAAGTGTTGACAAATATAGTAGATAAATCATACTGACAATAATAGATCATACTGCCAACTAGCAATAAATAAATCATTTTAAAACAAATAATACAAAAATCATATTGACAATTTTAAATTTGTTTTGACCCACCTACTCATGTTGGAATACAACACTAAAGTAGTACTTTATTTTCCAGCAAGCACAAGCATTATTTTACATTATTTTATGCATCATAAATATTGGTATAATGCAGCATTTAGACGGTCAAGGGAGAGAACCTATTGGTGTGCTGGAAGGCATAACTATGCTCTTACGAGTTATTTCCATCGCTCATCAGCCTTGGATGTCGGTTTGAACCCCAGCCGAGTCATACCAAAGATTTTATAAAAATGGTATTAGCATCTGCCTCGCTTGACACTCAACATTTAGATGTTAGTGTTAGAAATGGTCGACCTGGTGTCGAGATAAAATGATGGGTGGAACATGATGATACATGTCTAGTGCTAGACATCGCTATAAACTGCCACGCTGCAGACATCGACTAAAATTGTTAAAGCCACTTAAAAAGTCAAAAACACACCCACATCTAACCTACACACACATGTTATTTCCTCCGTACAATTTATTTAGATTTACTTAATCTGGCACAGGCTAGGCTTTACATATAAATTATCACGAATGTATTGAAGCGTAAATGGCTCTTGTACTTAATTTAGGCTAATGCCAAAAATAAACAATGATGTAATTTCCCCGGCGGAGGCCATATTATTTTAGGACAAAGCCGCTAATGACGTGTGGAGCGACCCGGATGCTGGCAGCATTTTAAAGTTTATAAATAAGCTCTATATTCTTCTGGAAAAGTGATTATTTAGTATGGTGACCCCTAAGCTTTGTTGATATGGTTTATGTACAAGTGATTCGTGTTACCAGAAAGATGGTGTTTGATTCATTGGATTTGGAAACGGTTTTCCAAAGCCTGACAGAGAGAGAGAGAGAGAGAGAGAGAGAGAGAGAGAGAGAGAGAGAGAGAGAGAGAGAGAGAGAGAGAGAGAGAGAGAGAGAGAGAGAGAGAGAGAGAGAGAGAGAGAGAGAGAGAGAGACCTATGTGTACGCGATAGATATATAAATTGCGGACGTCGTGATTTTGCCATAAAAAGGTGACGAAGGATACATATATACGTAGTTTGTACTTTGTTGGTGGATATGGACACACCAAGGAACATGAAGAGAAAGCCACCGTCTTTGACTTTTGTCAACAACAACAATAACAACAACACTAACAATTATAAGAAGAATAACAATAGCAAATATAATCATTAACGCATATAACAGTAACTTTTATTACTTGCATACCCATGCAATTATGACAAAATTAGCGGGTCATTTGCAATAATAATAATAATAATAATAATAATAATAATAATAATAATAATAATAATAATAATAATAATAATGAGTAGAAGATTACCAATAGCAATGAATCCACCAGATAACAGTAACTTTTACTACTTGCCGTAAAATCATAGTTGTAATATGCAGTCTTTTTGACAAATATTTTCTTTCTAAACTAGGGGTGCGTATTATATTCCACGATGTAACTTTATTAAAGTTTTATTGTACGGCAAGTCGAAGACGGCACTTCATGTCAGTCTCCATCTGATTTAACTTTCTGCACCATATAATTTTTTTTTATAAGTAGTATATTAAATATATGAATTAAGTCTTATTTTAGTGATAAATACCGGTACTGTTCCGTCACCATAAGATCACCAACCTTACTTTCAGGAATGTTCTGTAGGCTATTAGCGCTGACTTTGATCAATTATGCACCGATTAAGGGCTGGCGTTATCAAGTATCTACACTCTCAACACCAAGAAATCCGGGTGCGTATTATACATATGTGTCAAGATTTTTACATTACAGTGAAAGGAGAAAGTCTAGGTGCGTATTATATCAGAGATTTTACGGTATATATCCATTCAATTATGACAAAATTACCGGGATGATTTCCGATGATGATGTTGTTGTTGTTGTTCTTAACGCCATTTTTCAGCGCACGATAGGCTATTCATGACGGTCAGTATTAATGGTGGTGGAGGAAGAAACCGGGAAATCACAGGAAAGAACCACCGAGCCACGAGAAGCTACTGGCAAGCTTTCTCACATATCTACATTCGCCGAATCCTAGACTCGAACCCACGCAGACAGGGGTGAGATGGCAGTGATCTGTAACGGACAGCGCTTTAGACCACTCGGCCACTCGGAGCCCCCTTGCGATGATGATGATGATGATGATGATGATGATGATGATGATGATGATAATAATAATAATAATAATAATAATAATAATAATAATAATAATAATAATAATAATAATAATAATAGCAACAACAACAATGAGATGAGTATTAGAAGATTAACAAAAGCCAAAATAAAACACCAGATAACAGTAATGTTATGACAGAAATCTTGGGTACAAATGATAACATGAGAAATCCCTCTAAATTGTATTATAACTAACTCTTCTTTGGACTCATTTCCATGAAACTATATAGGGAGTAATTTCCATTAAATACATAGAATAACTTTATTTAATAGAGTTATATTATATCATAAATAAAGCAAGTCAGGCAACCAAGATTGCTGAATATAATGTGTGCCTCCACAAAGCAAGTCAGGCAACCAACACATTTGCTGACCATAATGTGTGCCTCCACAAAGCAAGTCAGGCAACCAACACACTTGCTGACCATAATGTGTGCCTCCACAAAGCAAGTCAGGCAACCAACACATTTGCTGACCATAATGTGTGCCTCCACAAAGCAAGTCAGGCAACCAACACACTTGCTGACCATAATGTGTGCCTCCACAAAGCAAGTCAGGCAACCAACACATTTGCTGACCATAATGTGTGCCTCCACAAAGCAAGTCAGGCAACCAACACATTTGCTGACCATAATGTGTGCCTCCACAAAGTCAGGCAACCAACACATTTGCTGACCATAATTGTGCCTCCACAAAGCAAGTCAGGCAATCAACACACTTGCTGACCATAATGTGTGCCTCCACAAAGCAAGTCAGGCAACCAACACATTTGCTGACCATAATGTGTGCCTCCACAAAGCAAATCAGGCAACCAACACACTTGCTGACCATAATGTGTGCCTCCACAAAGTAAGTCAGGCAACCAACACATTTGCTGACCATAATGTATGCGTCCACAAAGCAAGTCAGGCAGCCAACACTCTTGCTGACCATAATGTGTGCCTCCACAAAGCAAGTCAGGCAACCTGTACTTGCTGACCATGATGTGTGCGTCTACAAAACAAGTCAGGCAACCAATATTGCTGACCATAATGTGTGCGTCCACAAAATTTCGAGAGGTAATTTCTTTAAAGAATATTAAAACTAACACCATTGTAGGAGCTTTGATAATTTGTTTAGACCTTTTGCTCTTCCCAGGTCTGTTCAGTCTAATCAAGGGTCACGTATTATTTCTGTAATTTTCCAGCTTGCTATGAGTGAATTAGGGATCGAACTGTTTAAATGATTTGCTTATCACCCAGAAAGGCAAGGGGCTTTATAAAGATTTCATGAAACTTTGAAGACTATGATTCGATCATATTGCTTTGATACAGGAAAAGATTAGAATGGAGTGTTCATTTATTATTGTTATTAGATAATCAGTTCAGGACTCATTAGGTTTTAATAATTTTGAAGTAGTGTTTGGACACCCTGTCCATGGACTATAGGAGTTATTAAACGAGAAGCTTCTTTCAACCGATAAATTCATTTTTTTTCAGCTTTTGGTAGTCAATTTCTTTTGTATTAAAATAAACCATAAATGGAGTGGTGCTGCTGACGATTTGATGATAAGATAAAAATCTTCCGTATGAAAATGTTTTAAGAATTTCAAAATGAAAATACAAGTTAAGGATACTGTCAATCGAACGAGAATGTATCATGTTTTTAAGATGCTATTATAAGTAAATGTGCTAGTGTTTCGCTATAAGTTCTCAACTTGTTCAAGGAGGACGTAACGAAAGGCCATGGAAGGAGTGAATTATAGCATAAAATGAATCTAAATAACACTAAAATAAAATGAGAAGAAAAAAAAACAAAAAAAATCCAAACTTTAATTTGAAATCCTTCTATTCAAAATTATAAATCTCTCAGAAGGGCAGCAATAAATAAATACTATATCAAAGCAGTAGTGCAGAGTAGACTGTTAAGAAGCCGCTTTATCATATTAGGTTGGGAACGAAAAAAACATATCCAATGAAAACTACTGTTTTTCAAAGACAACTAATGAAAGTACCTAACGAAACAGAGAAGTGAAGAATATATAGTGATGATGAGATACCGCTCCGGTGGCTTAGTGGTTAGACAGTCCGACTCGGGTGCGGGAGGTTGTGGGTTCGATCCCCGGTCGAGTCATACCAAAGACTTACAAAAATGATACTAACAGCTTCCTCGCTTGGCGTTCAGCATTAAGAGGTTAGTGTTAGGACTGGTCGGCCTGGTGTCAGGATAATGTGATTGGGTGGAACATCATGCTACATGTCTGCGGCATGATACCTCAGTGCTAGACATCACTATAAACTGCCACACTGCTGACATCGTAGCGATATGACTGAAAAATTGTTAAAGCTACGCTAAAAATCATAATCACATCACATCGCATCACATATAGTGATGAGATATTTGATAAAAATGTGTGTGCTGAGATTATATTTGACATATACCACATCAAATAGCAATTGGATAGCTTTCACCTGCAGTTAAAAGCACATTCCCTACACAAGAGGAAAGAATATTAAGGAATACGTAAATATTGAAAAAGCTATCAATGCTTGCAAAGAATATTTAAAATGTGATGATGGAATGTATAGAAAGATCGAAGAGTTTTAAGTCGAGATTAATGATGAAATAAACGCCAGAAAACTTTATTCCACGAACAATTAAAAATTGTGTGAAAAGAAAAAGATTTTAAACATTACTCTATAACATCAGTTATCAGTTAAAAAACAACTGTTATTAGGAATAAGAATAAACAACTGTTATTATGAATAAGACTAAACAACTGTCATTAGGAAGAGGAAAAAACAACTGTCATTAGGAATAGGAATAAACAACAGTCATTAGGAACAGAAATAAACAACAGTTTTTAAGACCAGGAATAAACAACTGTTATTGGGAACGTGAATAAACAACTGTTATTAGGATAATGGCTATATACAATGACAGTGATTATGATATATACAATGAAGATGGTTATATGACTATACAATGAAGGTAATGGTTATACACACGGTTGGTTGGTTGATGGGCTTAACGCCATTTTTCAGCACACGATAGGCTATTCATGGCGGCCAGTATTAATGGTGGAGGAAGAAACCGGGAAATCACCGGAAAGAACCACCGACCCACGAGAAGCTACTGGCAAGCTTTCTCACATATCCACATTCGCCGAATCATAGACTCGAACACACGCAGACAGAGGTGAGATGGCAGTGATCTGTAACGGACAGCGCTTTAGACCACTCGGCCACTCGGGGCCCCTATACACACGGGAGGTAATTATTATATATACAATGAAGATGATAATGATGGCCTTTTCTAACTAGCACCCCACTCCAAATATAAAATCCATTGGGGTGCACAAAACTGACACCCACAACATATTGACGTAGTGTGTATATATATTAATTTCTATTCACAAATAGACTGGGGATCTGGCTAAAGCCCCCCCCCCTAAATTATAAACCTTGGCATAAGATTGCCCCCGCAGACAATTTGCCTCTTAAGCGTTGCGAACCATGGACCTTGAGCATTAAAATCCATCGTGCCAGCAATGAGCTATCGATCTCATTACAGATATATATTGAAAAAGTTATGATATGGTTACTAAAAACAGCATTACATTTTCTAATTTATAAAACACGTAGTGTTTAATTATATTATCTGTTTAAAAACGATATATTATAAATAACTCGAGAATAAATGAATGTTTGATTTCATATTACACATACAAGCAAACAATCTAATGTTGACAGTATAGGACTTCACAATGACACTCGCTTACAAAGTCGAGAATAAACGAAGTGACAAAAAGATAAAAAATTTCTGATTTTAAAATTATTGTTATAGATTATATATATATATATATATATATATATATATATATATATATATATATATATATATATATATATATATATAGATATATATATATATATATATATATATATATAATTTTTTATTTTATTTTGTATAAAACAGATTTCCCAGTGCGGCTAAATTTTAAAAACTGAATTGCGTTGGCCAGCGTAATTATCTTTGTTAAGGCAGCAGTAAGTTTCACGAACTGTAGAGAAGAAATCAATATTTTGTAGGAAGAAATGGTATAATGTATGCGTGTTTATAAGTTGAGGTTAGACTACAGCTAAAAGATATGTAATAGCATTATACACGTTTTCAGGTTAGAGTTTATCTTGCCTGTTTTACTAATTAATTAATAACAAAACTGCACAAGCTAAAATAAGCCCTCGCATGATATACACAACCACACATTTAATATGTTGGCCTTTTGTCAAGTCATATAAGGTTGGAACTTAACGAGAAAATGTACAGTAATGATATATTATTTAAGTAAAAAAGGAATTGGTAGCTTCTTTAGCAAATACAGAACTGCACCACACACACACACACACACACACACACACACACACACACATATTATATATATATATATATATATATATATATATATATATATATATATATATATATATATATATATATATATATATATATATATATTCCGCTCGACAACTCGCGAATGATTTTAAACTAAGGTTAAGGTTAAGCGTTATTATCTCCATTTTTAAAAATATGAGTATATACAAAAAACTATATTTCTGAGCCTATCAACAGTCTCTCTAGACACGCTATTAGGTGTAACGTATTATCGTGATTATATAACATAAATTTACTTCTGCCAGATACCTTGCGGTGGCACCCAAACATTTCTTTTCTAGCTACTTTATTAAGGAAATATTTACTTCCGTATGCAAAAACCTTTGAACTGTCCAAGTCTATGCTGATTTTTGTGTACCAACCTTGGTTTATTGGATTATGTAAATTTTCATATTTAAATGAAAGTACATATTTTAAATTTCGAGATACAGAAAATACTCGCTGTTCTGATAAGAGAGGGTTTTATTTTATCAAATATACTAAAACAAATGCCTGAAATTTCATCAATAAATTCGAATGACAAGTGTTGGTTATTTACCATTACTTTTTAATTTGATATTAACTGCATCAACCAGTGTTAAATTTTCAAACATTATTTCTGATGCTTAGACAATATTACTTAAATAATGTCCAAGCGCAAGAATATTTATTCCGTCTTTGCATACCTTTTATCATCGCAATTGCTTAGTCCACGTTTTATAATTGTTTTCGTTTCAAGTTTATGATGATTAGTCCTAATTATAGTAGTTTTTTAAACTGACGCTATTGTTAAGTGCTGCTTTGAAATCCTCAAAATACATCATCTTTGTCACATATTAGCCAGGGAAGCGCTTAGCTTTTTTGGTCAGTTTATTGTCATCTAATATAACAGTATACATTTTGTTTCTTAGTCCAACAAACTCTCTCACTTTCACAAGCATAAACTCATCTTTAATTTTTCCAATAACTTTCTTCTTAGAATTATCATGAAATCCACTACATGTTGGATAATCTGATAAATCAAACAAATCTTTATTATCGTAAGTATCCTGATAGACATTTTCAAATTTTATATTACATACTAGATTGTCTGTATTAGTAAATAGCAACTCCGAATCTGGCCACATTTTTTGGCAAAATTATAGTAAACATCGTACATCAGCCACTCTGATATATCAATTACAGCTGCACCAACGTAAATTGGTTTATTTAACTTTAAATTGGTCTTTCATTGTCGTATTGCGGCAGGATTTACCTTAAATATTTTCATACTAACAAAATCATCTTCATTAACTAATTTATTTCTGCGATTAATGTCATTAACAATCTCAATCAAATCTCTCCTGCGTATTTTTTTCATAATCTTACCAAACACCGAGTTGTTCATTAACTTGAAAAAGTTTTTATCAAATTCGGTTTTAGCCACGGCACGACGTTTCGTATTTAGGTCAATATAATCTGCCATCCACCGCGACTGATTAAACTTTAGCACGCGATGGACTTTACTCAGAATTAGTCCAGCATCTACTGCTTGCTTTAGATTTTTGTACTGCATGACGTAATTTCTTTTATCTAACAAATTTTGCTGTTGTCATTGCTCGTTGTTCAGGCGATACTAAACTTTAATTAATCGTCAATGAATCTGCGCAAAACGGATAGTCGTTATGTAGATCATGTAACGAACAAGGGTAGTCTAGATCAACTTCAACAAAATATGAAATATCTTTCGGAAGATTTTTTCAGTTTCTTTAAGAAATTGATTTGGAGTTATCCAATGAGACCCACCACAAGGCATTGGCTGTGTCATTGCCTACCTGTACAATTTCACAGATAAATAATATAACTGGACGGAAGATTTGTATCATAGCTTTTCAAATATTTATTATTAGCTGCTGCATATTATTGGTTATAACGATAATTCCGCCACTGATCGACATCTGTTAAGAGATTTAATTCTATTTTACTTGGTTTTAAAAAAGTGTCTAAAGACAGCCTTGGAGCAGAATGATACCAACAAGGATTTAATCCGTAATTTGCATGACTAACCAGACGAAAATTTTCAGAAACATCTGCTAGCAATAATACACCCGTTTTCAGATATAAATGGTGATATCACCAAATGTTTTACAAGCAAATTTATTCCACATATCTTGTGCATACTTATACTCGTCTATCCTGATGTTTTTATTCTTGAGCTGCGAGTAAAATTGATCTCTAAATCATTACATCTGCTACCTTTTTTTGTCAGATCGACATAGTTTTCACCTAAGCAACTCTTTAGGTTAGTGAAATTGCTACAACCTTTAACGAGCTCGTCCAATGATGTTGCCATAAATTGTTTACTGTCGATAAAACGTAATTTTCCGAGGGTCACTGACATATACTTTTCAAAATTATTTGGAACACATTTTATCACGTTATTTAGTTTTAGTTTATCTTTAATGCTTTTATCAGCAAAAGTTTCTACAATGATCTGACTGTCATAGCCACGAAAGTCATGTAAAACTACTGGAATAAAATCTGGAGCATGAAATTTTAAATTACAACTGTTATTATCTGCTTCGCGATAATGGACGGTCAAATGACAATGATCTCCGACCTTATCAAGAACTCCGTTGGAGTTCGCAAGCAACTGTTCACAAATATGACATTTAACTGCCTCATCAAAGTCGAGTTGTTGTTTACACGTTATTCTCATC